CCAACACTAGGTCTGGTCTTGCACTGGTATCTTAACATTATGCAGAAACCAGGGAAGAGAAGTGCTGGAGAAGGTTGGTATGTAGGTCATCTATGGCCCGCTGACATTCTGCCTTCTTATCCCATTTTTGCCTTTAGACAGCAAATTCCAAATGCTTTTATCAGACTTCTTTGGATATGCAAGCCTTTCTAGGCATGGAGAAAGTGAGTTGCAATTATCTCCAGGGTTGTTAAGAAGATCTGGAAAACAATGGGTAGATAGTCTGAACACACAAGTCCAAGTCTGGGCCTCTCAATGTATCCTGTGATATCAAATTTCATGTACCCTCTAAAGAAGTACATCATCTTTTTATCCACTTAGCTTCACTGGATGATCATTGGCCAAGTGACAAAACATTGCCAGCTTGATACCAGTAGAAGAGAATATGTGTAGCTCAGGGTTGAACTGTGAAGTCCTTGGGCTTCTCTGAGCTTGGTTGTTTTCTTGCAAACATTTTGTTACTAGATGTTACCTAGCTGGGTAATGAAACGTTTGCAAGAAAACAACCAAGCTCAGAGAAACCCAAGGACTCCACATTGCCAGTTTGATCAGAAAAAAATTAAAGTTTGCCTTGACGGATGTTGTCTTGCTTCCAGGCTATAACTGAGTATAGCAAATTTTCTGGAAAGAGCCTAATAAGGATTTTTTAAAGTTTGGATAATGCTAAGCAAAGCTTTCTTCATACTTTCAAGCCTACGATAATGAATTGCTACTACGCATAATATTTTGGTATTTTCCTCTTCCAGAGCTGTGGTAATCTGCAATAATGTTATCATAACTAATGCAACAGTAGGTTGTGATAAGGATATTTATTCTTATAATTTATTTATTATTACTTTCCTATGTTCCTCTGTAACTCCTGTGACCTCTAGGGGCCAGTGCTAGAACAACACCCAGAATTTCCTAATGAAGACCAAATTCCAAAATCGACTATTGTATGAAAAGACTTTTGGCCCGATAATTTTAACATTCATCCCTTTAACTGCATGAATATTCTCTATGAGATCCATAATTTTTTTAACACTGCAGAGTGTCATTCTACTGATATTAATTATTTTAGAATTTTAATAATAAAACATGTTTATAAACAGAATCATCAAACAAGAGCTTTGACTATTCCACATTCAATTGTTTAGCTGGTTCACAATCACCACTTTCTCCAGCAGCAATGTGAAAAAGAAATTGTATTCCTGAGTCTGAAAAGTTGGATTTTATATATATGGGGGGGGGGGGACTAAGCATTGTTTAAATCCTTCAACAGCTGATGAATTTTTAGGAGAACTTGGAAGACACTTAGCTGATTTTGCCTGATCTCAGGAAAGCCAACCAGGGTAGGACCTGATTAGAACTTGAGTGGGAGACCACCAGAACATCCCAGGTCAGTAGCTGGACCAAGAAGTCAAACAAACATCATGGAAGGCAATGGCAAAACCACTTCTGTCTTGTTGTCAAGAAAACAACATGGATATTTTTGTGAAGTGCCCAGGAGGTATTTGAGCCCAACTCAAGAGAAACTTTACTTTCACCAAACCCACTCATCCTTTATTTTATTCGTACTAATTCTGATGTACATATGGGACCAACTTAAGATGTTGGCTTAATTTATTCAATTTTTTGTTCATTTCAATCATTTTTTCAATCATTTTGTTCATTCAATTGTATGGCATTTTGCACAACATACCACAGGCTATAGGACTTTTTTATATTCATCACTCCTAACACTTAAAGAGCCCCTGAGGTTGGAAATCCTAACCTCAGGAAGTCCCCAATTTTTGTACCGAAGGTGAGTGGAGCGGGGGCAGGATTAGCTCTGGATCCAAAAGATTTCAGTTCCATCCCTTCCTGGATCCTTTAAGTAATCCCTGCCAATGGAACACTTAGTCCAACCATCATTAATAATCTACACAGTTCCTTTTGATTCTGGTAATCAGAGGAAGAAATGGAGGAAGTGGATCAGGAAATGTGAAGAGTTATCTGTTTTCTCTCTTCCATTCTTCCTGGTTTCACCAGAGGGTGTTGGGCTTTGAGGAATGTTCTAAAATATAAATACTCTATAATGCCCTTAGCACTAAATTGTAAAAAAAAAAAAAAAATCTAACTTATCTTCCAATGATAGTTGCCCAAGATAGCTTAGAGCACTGATTCAGCCTCAATAGAAAACTGTCAATATCCAACAAATACTAAAGCTAAAACCAGTAATCTCAGTAAAATCAACTGATCATCCAAAGCAAAGTATAATCATATCAAAATTACATCCAAAGCCAGAGAACGAGAGAGAGAGAGAGAGAGAGAGAGAGAGAGAGTTGTCTTGTCTTGTCTCATTGTTAAGATGATGATGGTCCCAGGCAAATTGTACTTAGAAGGGCATTACAGAAGTGCTGGGTTACCACAGAAAAATTCTTCTCTCTAATGCCATTTGCTTTAGTTCTTATGCCAATCTCTGTCTTAGATTCTAACTGACTAGGAAAGCTAATACAAAGATAGGTGGTCCTTCAGACACTGTGGCCCAGGATATATAGAACTTTAGATATCAATACTGAATTGCATCTGGGAACAAATCTGTCAACATTGGCTTTAACTTTCAGGATCTATATATCCTTTAAAGCCTTCTTAGATCAGCTTTCATAGCAAACCCTTCATTGTATTCCAGCAGTGTGGAACTTAAGAATACTAGTTGCTATTGGAAGTTATTTCTTCTTGGTTCCACCCAGGCTGTGGGATAGTCTAAAGTATGAAGTTTAGAGATCATCTCCAGCTGCAGTTACATAGCTGGCATCCTGATCCTCACATGAATCTAAGCCATAGACCTCCATTTACGTATTACAATGCACAACATGTTAAGCAAAACCAAACAAATTACATAATGATTGAATCTATCTGATTCACTTTGTATTGGCTGACTATTTTAAGAATTAGAAATGGATGGATTCTGAGAATCAGGTTGAGTTTACATATCATGCTAAGCTAGAATGTGATTTGGTTAGTTTGGACTGGATCTGTTGCATGAACCCAAATACTAGGATTTGTAAACTGAAATTTTACAAATTTTACAATTTAAAGTTTGCATGAACCTCATCAGTGGTGTTTATTGAACAAATGGTGGTTAAATACATGTGTGAATTTAATAAATATGGAGTTTCTGATTTATTGGAAGGATTATACATCATGTATGTATGTATGTATATGTATGTATGTATATGTGTATATACATTGTGTACATCATTATGTTTTTATTCAATATCATGAAAAAGTGGCCTGTAAATATTTTAAATAGTTTTGGTGTGTTTGTTTGTTTAAATGAAAAAAATTATTTTTATTAAGGTGCATTGTTAATACAAGTTTAAGAAAATTTGCAAGTTTAAGATCTTAAACCAGGACTTAAACATCTGTTAATGAATGCTAAAGTCACAATACATAACAAAAATCCATAGCTGAACAATATATTTCCTATGATCAAATTGTTACACTTTAATTAAAGGTGTTAATGGATTTTGTGTTTTCATTCTCACTATAAACATATTTAGGCTTGATTTTATGCAGGTAAATAAAATGCAAGGTGAAGGACAGATTTTAATCTCTTTTAAAGTGTATCAGGCAGTTGTATCAAGCCTCTGAAGTCCTTTGCATAGTCAAGAATCACGACGGCTGATTATAGTCATTTTGTGGCAAGGCAGTGCATAAGATTCCATTGCAAGGCATTGAACAGAGTAACTTGCTCTGAATTGTGTTGGTTAGCCAAATGAGAATAGGGTGATGAGTAAGCATTTATCTATGTAGTTGCATCTTCCTCATTCCTTGATTTTGCATCATCTTGGAAGAGTCCTAAAGTATTTGACATCTGCACACTTTGTTGCCTTTTGGTTGATCCTAATAAATATTTTATTCACCTGTGGCTTTTGGATTTATTTTTCCACTTCCTTTTAAGAAGTAATATAATAGTGAAAAGCAGATTTCCACAAGTAAGTGAAACATTATTGCAAACGAAATCAAAACTTGCTTGTCTAAATCATTTTTATTTTTCCATTTGGCCCATAAAAAATCCCATCACTGCCATTACCACTACCCATAAAAAATCCCATCGCTACCACAGTCCACCAAGTTAAAACATATTTATGATTTTTATTGAAAATAACATGCGGGCAACTTTATGTTGTATTTATAAATAAAAAGCAGATCTCACATATGAAATGGGCACGGCGGCTCTTGCATTAAGTGAAGACAATTGCAAAAACCATATGAAACCATTCAAAAGAGTTTTACCTATTTAAGATACCGTGAGACTTTTGGAAGCCCCTGGTATAGATTAAAGAGGGGATCTCGGTGGCGGCTAACTCGGTTGTACGAGGAGAGGCGGAGGGCGGGCGTTGCAGCACCTTGGAGAGCACCAGGAGCGCGTCGCTGCGCGCGCATCTTAAAAGCAGCCCGCGGAGGCAGATACGCAGTAGAACCGTCTGCACCGGTGTGGGAGGCAGGACTTGTCTCGAGCGATAGTTGCAGGCTGGACAGAAGTGTTAAGGAACGCCGCTGTCTGGGAGATGACCGGAGGACCCGCGCTCAACTTCAGCCTGGGTTAGTTAGCCGCGCGCCCCAGCTAAGCGGCCGGCAGCGACGTCTGGAAGGCTCTGCTGCTAGATCCAACCCCATCAGTGAGTGACGGTCCTCTGAACGGCCCTCGGGGTCTGCGGGTCTCTGCCTTTGGATCTGGTCTGGGCGCTGTCCAAGAAGACCTGCTGTGAGCTCCCGCTTGGCGCTGGCACCGCTGCGCACCTTTCCTTCCCAAATTCCCCGCCGAAGACTTCGCAGCTGGGGCAGCATCTCCAGCCTGCTAGCCGTAGGGAGTCCTGCCTTTGACTGGGGGCTTCCTCGTTGCCTGCTCCTGGGAAGAGAGGCTTCTTTTTGTCTCCCGGGGCAGCTGGCTGTGTGGTGCTGAGAAAGCACAAAAAATCCCCCTCTGCCATGGGATGGATGCCCTGTGTGAGCACAGCTACTGCTCGCTGGCAGCTAACATGAGAGAAGCTGGTGCAGGAGAACTGAACCCTTTCCCCAGCCTGCTAGAAGAGAGGCTGTTAAGCAACAGCACCAACGAGTCCCTGCAGGAGCTCTGGAGGAGCTTCCTCAACCTGGAGAGAGCAGATGGGCTGCAGGGGGGCAGCTCCATCCTCCTACGGATCTTCATCTCCATCATCTATTCTGTGGTGTGCGCCCTCGGTCTAGTCGGCAATGTGCTGGTGCTCTACTTGATGAAAAGCAAATGGAAAAAGTCCTCCATCAATCTCTTTGTGACCTGCTTGGCAGTGACCGATTTCCAGTTTGTCCTGACTTTGCCCTTCTGGGCGGTGGAGAATGCCCTGGATTTCACCTGGCTCTTTGGCAAAATCATGTGCAAGATGCTCTCCTATGTGACAGCCATGAACATGTATGCCAGTGTCTTCTTCCTCACTGCCATGAGCATTGCCCGCTACCATGCTGTGGCCTCTGCCCTGAAAAGCAGGAGGCAAGGAGGGCTCCTGGATGGCTGCTCTTCAGCCAAATGGTTGTGTGCGCTCATATGGGTCCTGGCCATTCTAGCTTCTCTGCCCAATGGCATCTTCTCCACCACCTCCACTATCTTTGGTGAGGAATTATGCCTGGTCAAGATACCTGACAGCCAAGGCAACAATACTCCATTCTGGTTGGGGCTGTACCATGCCCAGAAGGTTCTGCTGGGCTTTCTATTGCCTTTGGGCATCATCACCCTTTGCTACCTCTTGCTGGTGCGCTTCATCAGTGACAGACATGTGGGTGCCGGTTCCTGTGGGCCAAGCACTAAGCGCCGCTCCAAGGTGACCAAATCAGTGACCATTGTAGTACTGTCCTTCTTCCTTTGCTGGCTACCCAACCAGGCACTAACCACCTGGGGTGTCCTCATCAAGCTGAACCTTCTGCACTTCAGCCATGCCTACTTTCTCTCTCAGGCATACCTCTTCCCCATCACAGTCTGCCTGGCACATTCCAACAGCTGCCTCAATCCCATCTTCTACTGCCTCATGCGTAGGGAATTCCGTAAAGCACTCAAGAAACTCTTGTGGAAGATTGCTTCACCCTCCACCACCACCATGCGTCCATTCACTGCTACCACCAAACCTGAGCATGAAGAGCAGGCATTGAAGAACCTAATGACCATTAAGCCTGCAAGAAGCTGTGCTGCTCCTCCTCATCCTGCTATAGCAGGAGATGTTCCTGATACTATCTGCTATCCCCCTGGTGTGGTGGTGTATAGTAGTTGCTCTAATATCTTGCCTTCCAACACCTCCACCGAGCTGCACTGTTGAGCCTGAGGGACTGGCACAGATGAAGAAAGAAATTGTCCCCAGGATCAGTAGATGAGGTTCCTGTGTTGGAGCCTTCCTGGAACTGCCTTATTGTGGGATGGGGGAGTAGGTCAATGTCTGCAAAGTCATGCTTCTTGGATGGTTGTGTGTTCAGCAAAATGGAAGAAAATGAGGAAGGTGTATTCTAGCATTCAGGGAAGAAATGTGGGGGCTTGGAGCACTCAGAAATCTATGGAATAGCTTCACTTGGAATGCCAACTGCTGCACCTTAGTAAAGGTCAAGGTGGGGAAGGTGCAGACAAGAGTGACCAAAATAGTCAAAGTCTGAAGTAACTCCACCACAGGGAAAGCTTGCATTATTGGGAAGTCTTTAGCTTTGAAAGAGGGGTGTGGAATTAGGCATGGAAGGGAAGAAGTGGACAGGGAGAAAGTCAGGATTCTAGACTATGATAAAGAATTGTGGAAGATTCAGGATAGATCAAGCAAAATATCTAGATAGTGACACTGACATCATGATGGCCATGACCTTGAACAATTTCATGCATGTAGGATAAAGCGAGGCATGATAACTCCACATTACCTTCAGAAGCAATGTATGAGTACAAGGCATTCAGAAACAACAGCAAGTGAAGCTATGGCCCTCATATCCTGCTTGTGAGCTTTCCCTAGGCATCTGGTTGGCCATTAGAGAAATGTTGGATTAAGATGGGCTTTTGGTCTGACCCAGCAGGCAGGCTGTTTTTATGTTCTTATGAGACTCCTTACAGTAATAGACTGTGAAATTAGGCATTTTAAAGAAGTTATTTTTTGGACTAGTCCAGACAAAATAATGTCTGCATCTCCAGTTATGGTGCGCTCCCTAGTCTTTGGAGTTAAGGAAAATTTCTCCACCTGACCCTGTTTCCCTTCCTGGTAAGAAAAGTGAAAGGCTGAGTGGGATGGTCTGGAATTCATTCATCTTGGTTGGGGGTGTTGGTTGGGGGTGGGATGATCTGTAAAAAGAGAAAAAAATGCATGTTTATTGTTGATCTTCATTAAAACAATCCCATCTTCACAGGATGCAACAAGGGATGAATGATGTTCGGAAATAATGTATTAGGACTAAGCTCTTTTTAGTTTCTTTAAAGTATAGAAGGAGAGAGAGAGAGAGAGAGAGAGAGCGGTTCTGCTGAATTGTTCCACTCTTGAATCTAAGAGTGAAAACAACAGAAATTGTAGTTGTAACTTCAGAATGCTTCTGCTCTGCTACCAGACCGCCTGTCTATCATTTTCTTTGAAATGATTCCGTTTGTAAAACTGTGGGGGAACAGCCTGGACTTCAAAGGGCACTAATAAAAGTCAAAGGCATGGATGGATCAGTAACCAGACTGTGGGGAAGGCTTTGAGGAAAAATTCCAGGAACTGACATTAAGAAACTGTACCTGGCAGCATAGATTTAAGGCAGCAAGGGATCTCTTGCTACTTCAGTCCCATGTCCATTCTGTTTAGATAGGTGACACTCCTGTTTGCCTCCAGCATTTGATACTCAGAAATATGGTCCCTTGGAAGATGGAGGTGCTGTTTAGCTGCTATTTTTCTGAGTGCTGGCAGAGCTATCTGGACACAAGTTAAAGAAATTCACAATAAGTCCTTCTCCATGATTTATCCATCTAGAAAGTTGGTCCTCCCTAGCTTCATTTCCAGATAATGATCTTTAAAGCTCCACTCCCCATGCAGCATCAGTCACAGTGACACCACTTGCACGCAAGAGCTGGCAATATTTGTATCTCTGAGCATATAATTCCTGTAAATGGAAGGGCTGGCCTAATGATTAGGGATGGGAGATAATTGATTGAAGAAAGGAGGAGGCTTTGTATTATATTTTCTGTATCAAGGCTGTGTCATTACCTGTGGACTATTAAATCACTGTATGCATGATCAAGCATTGTCACGTCGTCACAAAGCAGGGGGGCTGCGTGGCTTGAAAAGGTTTGATCTTTGAAGGAAGCAATGATGCAACTTACTGGATAGGAGCTAAAACCATGTGTGTGTTCTGCATATAACTGATGGTTTCAAATGTTTTTGTCGTTACTATGAATATGGATGCCAAGCATATACTCCTGAATGAGATAGGAAAAATTTAGTTATTCTTATAAGAATACAAGAATGCAAACCTTTTCTTCCTTCCTGAGTACACAAGTAGACAAGGCAAGATGCAGAAAATGTGGGTCCTACTCTGCCCTGTAATACTTGATGCATATTGCAACATGCAACGGTACACACAAGGAAGGGTAATTTCCCTCTATCCACTGCAGTCATACTGAATTTGGATTGCTGTAATTTTACACTAAGAAAGTAATCTGGAGAGGTTTCACAGCCATCTGCAAATGGCATCAAACATTTTAAGGTTAAAGCACTTTGCTGTCCTATCAACAAACATTGCAGATGTTGCAGTCTTTGCTGGTGGGATAAGAAAATCATTCATATGAATATGGGAAGCCCCTTCCCCAGGGTTTTATTGAATGGGCCATTCCTGTGTCACCAATCCAGAGGCATTGTGCTGCTTTCCTTTGAATGTCACCCCCAGTTTTGGGAGGGGTTGGGGAAAATGATGGGAAAGCATCAACAAGACACTGTAGCCTTGTACTTCCATAAAATTCCATGAATGAGACAGATGATTAATGATGAATTCATCACATGAACAATAGAATGTTACAATATTAAGAGAGCCAGAATGGTGCATGGGTTAAAATGTTGGACTAGGACTGTGGAGGTCCAGGTTCAAGTCCACCCTTAAATCGAGAAGCTCACTGGGTGAATTTGAGCTAATCTCTCTCAACCCAACCTACCTGATGGAGTGGTTAAGCAGATGCCCTCCATGCTTCCCTCTAATCCTGCTGTCTCCAGCAGAAGGGACAATCTGCACCTGGAGTCTCATTTCAAAAGGTGTCTGCAAGGAATCAGTTTCTACTCCTGCCCTGCTACTCAGGGAAACAGGGAGACGGGTGTGGAACTGCAAGATGGTTTCCATCACGCAACCTCCAACTCTGATTCATTCTGACTTGGAATGGCTATTGAGAAGCGCAGGCAAGCATTTTCACCGGGGTGTGTGTGTGTGTGTGTGTGTGTGAACCATAGATACCTTAGCAACAGACCTTCAGTTAGATTCTGAAGATGATTTCTCTTTGTTAGTGTTTTAAGCAAAGTTATAGGACCTAAACACCATTCTAGGAGAAAAGTTCTCAGTTATTTCACAACTGAAGATGCAGCCCTGTCTATTTCATCCAGGACCAGTGGGTCCTAAAACAAGCTGTGCACAGGGGTGTCTTGGCACAGAATCCCTCTTGGCTGCCCTTCCACTGGTTTCTTCTGCCCTTCCCTGAATGTCTTCTGGAGTGCAATATTTTCCAGGCATCTCTGCCATCCACTAGGCATGACTTTGGGGCAAAATGCAAGAACCCTTGTTGATTGAATGAGCAAAAGACACTGACTGGGGAATTCTGGGAGTTGAAGTCCATGCATCTTAAAGTTGCCAAGGTTGAGAAACACTGACCTAGAGCATCACTTTGACAGCAACAGGCCAGCATTAGCCGACCTTGAATCACTAAACTGCGTCAGGCCTCATTAGCACTTGGGTGGGAGGCCATCAGGAAATTCTGAGGCCATGGGCTTGCTTGGGAAGTAAAACAAAAAAGTCCCAGAAGGTGGCAGTGGTGAATCACTTCTATCTCACTGCTGAGAAAATTACATGGAGATGTTTGTGAAGTTGCCAGCAATTAAGTTGATTCAAAGAGGTCTTGCACACAGCATCCAAATGGTGAGTACTGGTAGGATTGTAACTGAAACAGAGTGACTGAAAAGGAAGAAGGGAGAGTATCAGGATGTCTGTAATAGCATGTGGGAATGACTTTGGGAGACGGGGGGGAGAGCCACAGGCAGGGCAATGGTCAGATAAGAGGCAGCTGAGCTTGCAGAAGGAATGGGGGCATGGTAAACGTCTCAGAAGGGACCCTTCCTAGTTTCTTGGACTGTAAAGGTGAGGAGGGAGAGAGGTACTTTCAGACTTGAAAGATTCTGTTAATATAACCTTACAATAAAGTTAGAGCTAGTCCTTCTGGGTGTGCTTCTTGTTTGGACTACCTCACAAGGCTGACAATGCCTGAGCAAACTCAGAGATTTGAAGAAATGTACCAAATCCTTTTTTTTAAATAATGAAGGGGGAAAGCTGGTACTTAAAAACAGATCAGTGAAGGAATAAGAGAGCAAGATATGTGTGCCCAGCATCAGCTATAAAGGAGGGTGAGGAAGAGGGGCAGGGATGGAATACTCTACCCGAACCCCAGTATAGCTTAGCCTTTTTTTAATGTTAGTTTGGCCTTGGGCTGGCCTCCTTTCCCCCTAGGAGGCATGGATATGTTGCAAAATTTTGTTGCAGGCTCCACTGTTTCCCTTCAGGTTTGGACAAATGGCATGGAGACATCCAATTCGAAAAAGAAGTCCTTGAATGCCCCAACCCTTAGTAGAGATCCTTTGGGAGTTAATGCAAATGCCAGAAGATACAGCAACCAAATAGGATATTAGGGGAAAAAACCTGATTCTCCCCAAAATGAATTCCCCTCTGCTGTAACTTCATTTCACCTTACCTCTTGTGCACGAGATCGGGCTCTGGCCCTTGAGCAAGCCTGCCGGTGCGCTCACTCCAAAAATGAAAGAGAGGTCGGAACAAGAAATAAAAGTGCTTTAATTGCATTAAGTTAATTAAAATGAAAGATAGATAATATGATTCCTCCCAGTAATTTCTCCTGGGGCCACATTAGAAACAATAATTCAGCAGCAACAGAGTGCAAATCTTTTGCACTTTTGACTTGACTCAGACTCAGATATTTTGGTATCTCTCCCCATCTCTCTGGATGCTTCTTCTCAGCCCCCTTCCCGCTGTCTCCTGCCCACTTCCTGCAATTCTATTCCCTGCTGTCACCCCATTGTGCTTGTCCCAACCCTCGCCTTACCTATTGCCCCCTTCCTTCCTTCCATCCTCCTCCTCTTAACTGTCTACCTTCATCTGTAGGACCATCAGATCCTTCTGGGAAAGCATCTTTAGCTGCTATTGCATTAAGAACCCAAAATGTAAGGGAAAGTAGATATTGCTGCACAGAGTGATGGACACTCCTGCAGTGGATGAACTGCCACGGTGTTAGTTGTTCGAGGTAGTCCAGACAAGAAGCACATCAACAAATTCCAGTCTATCGTTATTGTAGGGTTACATTAACAGAACCTTGCAAGTCTGGAAGTACCCCTCCCCTCCCCTCCCTCACTTTTACTCTCCAGAAAACTAGGGAGGGTCCCTTCTGAAACACTTCCCATGCTCCCCCCCCCCCCCCCCCCCCCCCCCTCCT